CCCCCTCTGAAGCAAAGATGACAAGCGACAAGGCAACACTCTAAGGGATACATTACAGTGGAACAGATGTGGGTCCTCTTGGGGTGCTCACTTGGATCCAGTCATGTTTTGTCTGTCCCTTCTCCACTGATCCCCACCTACATCGGTGACAAAGACGAAACCATTTCTGCCAAGAACAGAGTCCCTTGCCACCCCACAGGGGTTCTTGAGATCAGGGTGAACTCTTGTCTCCCTTGCTGCGTGAACATCCAGGCACTTACCCCACTGCCTGGCAACAGCCTTCAGGGCCAGAGGGGTTGTGTGCCCAGACCCTGCAGCCTGTGACCAAATTCCTAAGAATCAGTGGATGCTCTCTCCACCCCGGGGCATGGCACCCTGTGCCTCTCTGTAGCCACTCAGAGAGGCCTCTGGTCACAGCCTAAGGCCAGCACGGCCAGGATGTTAAGACATCCCACCTGGAGGAATCTCAGTCCCTGGGTCTAGGGCCCTTCAGCCCCTTCTCAGAACCTCCCTGCTGGCATATGCCTTCCTTAAGAGAAATGATGGTCAGGACTCCCAGACAGAGAGAAACAACAGTTATTTTTACATACACCACCACCACCACCACTTTCCCCATCCTGTAAGCTCCCTGCCACGTTGCATCTTGACCGTGGCCCTCCGGAGGTTCCTTCTGCTGGTGATTCCCTCTGAAGTGGGACCCTCTCTGTCTTCTTTTGTACCCAGCACAGAGAAAGGGCTCAGTTGGCACGGGCCCTCTCTCTCCCATCTGCTCCCCAACTCCTCACTCAGTGGAGAAGGGGTGCACAGGTTGGGTCTGCTCTTCGGAGGAGAGCACAGAAACCCTCTCCTCCAAACAGCTCACGTGCTGTCGAGCTGGGGGGATCTGGTGAAGCCTGCTGGTGGTCGGCTGGCCCACCTCATCCTGCCTTCTCCAGGAAATAATCACAAAAGCAGAACGCTAGGCCTTACAAAGTGTGGGGCTGAATCGTGAACCTTTCTTTTTTCTTCGTTGAGCCACACGGCCAGTTTCTGAGATGGGAGAAAAGAAAAGAAGAGAGAAAGAAGCCCGAAAAGACTTGCCGGGATCATGCAGCCAGTGAGAGGCAGGCTTTCCTCTCAATCCTGGTCCAAGCCGCCCCCGTCTAGCCCCAGGGAGCCTCTTCCCTCCCACTGGTTTCTGCTGCTTGCTGGCTGGGGCAGACTATGTGAGGTACTTGCCCTCTCTGGGCCTCCATTTTCTCATCTGAAACATGGGGGCCGTAATGCTTCCCTTGAAGGTGGACAGGGGCTGTTGACACATTGAGCACGTGAAGCACACACCACGCCCAGGGCGGAGACGCCACCTGCCAGAGGGTGTAGGCGTGGGGGAAGGGGTGACCTGCTGTCCCCATGCAAACTGAGGGGCACAGCCATCCAGCTGTCGCCCAGAGGTGGGAGGCCCTGAGCCCCCACAGGCGCTCAGTTTCTCCCAAGGCTCCGTTCCACATCACCGCCGATTAGTTCCAAATAGCTTCCCCTCCCCAAGTATCGCTTACACAGGAGAGAAAGGGGCAATTGTTCCAGAGGGGGCCGCTCTCTGGCCCCTCTCCCTAGAGCAGCTGAGAGATGAACCGGGTTGAAACAGGGCTTAGGTTAAGAGGGACACAGTCATAGGAAATACAGATGCGGTGGGTCCCAGGCAGGTGGGAGGGACTGGCGGTGTCCGCCCCCAGTGGGCTGCAGGCTTGCAGACCAGGCCTCAGAAAGACCCAGGACTGTGGCAGCAGGGAGGAAAGGCGGCAATGCTACCAGCAGCATCTGCTACCCTGACTCCTCCTGACTCGTGACAACAGCTTGCTTGCAAATGCAAGGATGCAGCACAGCAGGCGGCCTTCTGGATCTCACACCGCTGAGGCCCAAATGCCCCTTCCAGGCCACAGGCCAGCCATCCCTCCCGGCCCCCTGGTGTCAGCAAAGCCCAGGGATTGAGGCTACAGCCCGGGAAGAGTCTAGGAGACTCAGGTCAGGGAGCCTCCAGACGCAAGGTGGTCCCCAGAACTACCCTGCCTGTCCCCTCAGTGGTTCTTGACTTCGCTGCCACCACTGAGCTAGACCCTCCACAGAAGCATGGGCCAAGCATGCACAGGGTCCCCTTATCACTCCTCTTAGCACAGCAAGACCAGCTGGCAGCTTCACAAAGGGCTTTACTAAATACTAAGGGAGAACAAAAGAGAAATAATTACAGAAAACATGAAAAACCCAGCCCTGGCTGCCAAGCTCCCAAAGTACAGGTTTCCACTCCTCTGGTGACAGCCAGGCCATGGCCCTTCTCCTGGCTCCCCTGGCTCCCAGCCTTGGTGCTGGGTGCCATCTTGTCTCCTACCCTGGGAACATGTGGTCACCCCTAGGCTCATCTCTTGGCTCCCTCCCACCCAGCCCACCGCAGTCTCCCACTGGGTTCTGGTGTCTGGCTAGAGGCAGAAGCCCTGTTCCCTGTGGGTTGCTGAAGCTGTGGTGACCAACCCAGCACTTGATTACATGGTGAGGGGAGGTGGCTCTCCCACACCTCTTCCTCCCAAGAGGCCCACCCAAGTTGAAAGGTCTTGAGTGTGGTGTAGGGGGTTCCCTGTGAAAAGCTGAAGGGCACGTGAGTAAGGACTGGGCAGATTTGGAACACCTTCCCTGTGGGTGAGGAGAGGAGTGTCAAACATTGGCCTAACTCAACATGTGCTACTTAGGCCTCTGCTAGGAATTGAGCAAGGTGCTAGAGACACACAGTGAACAAAGATACAATCTGGGCCCTCTTAGATCTTATAGTTGTAAGACAAGCAGATGAGAAACTGGGCAATGATGCTGCTGAGGCCAGATGCCACCATGGAAGCCATCCCAGGTGCTGTGGCACCTGCCTGAAGAGCTTATTCAGGTTTGGTAGCCAGGGAAGCCACTGGACCCTGCTGAAGCAGGTGCACAGAGAAAAGGAGGGCTCAGGGCCCAGGTGGGAGTGCTGCACGAACACCCAGCTCAGGAGGCAGGAGGAGGAAGCAAAAGAGACCAACCAAGCATCTCCTTGGAGTGATCTGGGGCTGCTGCAGGCTGTGTGACCACAAATTCCACCCTGCTCTTGCTTTGCTACAGTTCACACAAGCATAGGCTTCTTTGTCTCTTGTCCATGCTGTCAAGAACTCTGTAACTATAGTACTTTTATTCTGCAATATGAACTTAAAAATGGATTAGATGTCATGTCCTAACGGTGCCATTGCTTGTACCCAGGAGCCTCCACAGTCCCGCACAATCCCAAGGCAGAGCACTGTTCTTCCCCCTTCCCACATGGAGAAGCAGCCCCAGAGAGGGAAGGACAGGGATGGGGTCATACGGCTGACCAGCAGGGGTCTTCAACCCAGGGGAGCAGAGCTCCTGGTCCACCTGCCAGGAGACAGAGGTGTGCGGTAGGGTTCAGACATTGCCCAAGACACTGAGGCCACTCAGGAGAGAAGAAGCTCTGCTATTCTAGACATCTGGTTCCCACACAGACACAAATGTCACAGGAACCTCTGATCACATCACAAGCACCTGGGCACAGCCTATGTTAGCCCCGCTGACCTAGCGTAATATATGAAATGAGAGAATGAAAACACACACACACACACACACACACACACACAATGTGCTTACCCTCTCACAACAAGTTATAGGCAGATATGCTCACAACATAAGTGTCAAAATCGTCAGTGTAGATAAGCACATACAATGCAGATTCCTACATACATATTTGTGCACAGTACATACTCATGCCCACATGCACAAATCCAAATCAGACCACATAAACACATGCACATGTACACACATGACAAATAAATCTGTGATACAGATATCCACGCCATACATCTACTCACCCTTGTGCAGCGCCCAGCAACCCTCCACCAGGATCTGGGGGCCCGGAGGGACTCTCTACAGACTAAGAAACCTACTGTGTAGGAGCTGACTGGAATGTTCTTTGCAGCCACCCCACCTTAGCTGGCCAGTGACTGGCCCCTGACGCCTGGATCTCCAGGCCTAGCTAGGGCTGGCTGGGCAGGGAGGCAGCCCTCGTGGGTGGGCAGCAGGCAGCAGAAGCAGAGGTCACTGAGGTGAGAACGGGGCTGCCCTGGCCTCCCTGCTTCTGGCTGAAATGTGAGCCGAAGGGGCCACCTCCCAGGCCCATCTCCTCCCCCACGGCCACCTACCCGCCCCACAGCCAGGCAGACTGAATTCTGCCAGGTTCTTGCAGCCAGGAAGTTGCCCAGAGAAGACAGTGAGGGCGGTGATGGTAAAGAAGGTTGTGAACCAAGAGGGGCACACATGGAAGCCTGGCCAGCACCCACCCACAGAGGACACATACGCGCGCCCGCGCGCGCGCACACACACGAGCAGGCAGAGGCTCAGAAGCTCACATTTCCAGACACACAGGAACACAGATCCAGGGAAGTCATATCTGGGTGTTTCCTGGCCACCCAGACGCGGGGTTGCACACCAAGGCCGGGGCCCAAGGAGAGCCATAGCCCCTCTGCCAGCACACCGCGGGGCTGCAGCATATCCTCCTCCTGGTCCTGGCATGCGACCCCCTCTGCTGCGGGGAGGAGGCCTTGGCCAGGTGCCCCAGGGCTTCCCGTGATCAGAGCTGGGCTGCCTCCCGCTTTCCAGCCAGATGATGGTAGTCTGGGTAGAGAAAATTCTGGGGTCACTGATTTAGGGTTTGTCCCTGCCACACACTTTCTCTCTATCTCTGTCTCTCTGTCTCTCTGTCTCTGTCTGTGTCTGTCTGTCTGTCTGTCTGTCTGTCTGTCTGTCTGTCTGTCTCTCCCTCCCTCCCTCCCTCCCTCCCTCTCTCCCTCTCTCTCTCTCCCTCTCTCCCACCCCCCGGGGCCACACGTGTGTTGGCTCTGTCAAATGGGATTAGTAATCTCTCCAGCCACTCAGAGACTGCGGAATGGTTTGAAAGGGCCCCAAAGGGCCACACCTGGTAGCTGCCGGGGATCCGCACCGCCTTCCCCCAGGCCGCGGAAGGGCTGAGCCTCGGGGCCTAGTGGGCGTCTAGGACGCCCTACAGGGTTGGGGTCGCACAGGCGCAGCCCCTTCCGTCTGTCTGTCTGTCCGCGCCCCGGGTCCGGCGTCGGACCGGTCGCGCTCACTCATGGGCGGAGCCGGCCCAGAGCCCCGCCCCAAGCGCAGCCTTGAAACCCGGTCGCTGGCAGCTTCGGTCCCAGAAGGGAGTCGCTGTCGGAGCAGGAAACCCCGTCCTCGGGCCCCTGCCCGGCCACGAGGGAGGACCGCGGTCTCGCGCAGCGCCGCCCCGATCGCGTCGCCCGCCCGCCCGCCCGCCCCGCCCGGAGCCCGGGGCGCTGCCCACAGGTTCGCGGCGCAGCCTCACCTGCAGGGTCCTGAGGATGCTCGGGCCGCCGACGGGGACCTCGGGGCCGCAGGGAGGGGGCCGTCCACACTCAGCTGCTCACTCCGCTCTCCTCCTGTGCCAGGGGCTCCCCCCGGAGGACGAGCATGGTGAGTTCCCCTCGGAGCCCGCTGGTTCAGGACGTCTGAGAAGATGCTCGCCTTGCGGCTGCTCGCGTGCGCCCTGCAGCTCCTGGCTGGGCTGGCGCTGCCTACCGCGCCCCTCCAGGTAACAACTTCTCCTACCCGGCCCGGCTCCGCTGCCCTGTTCGCCCCAGCCCTTGAAGCGGAGGACCTGAGAGCGCAGACCACACCAAGGAGCAGCACCTCCCAGGAGGACTGCACGCTTTCTGGGAGCCTTTGGGAGAAGACCTCCGGAGGGGCTGTCCCCAGCTCAGGGGGCTGTCTTGGTGGGGGGCAGGGAAGCCACAGAGAAGGAGGAAGGTTTCCTGTCTGGCCCCTGGAGCCATAGCGGTTTTGCTAAAAAGCATCTGCCCGCTAATCCCAGGCTGTTCCCTGGCCTTGTGGTCAGGGTCGAGGCGCCCCCAGGACCTCTGACCTGGCCTGGTGGAGAGGAAGCCGCCAGAAGAGGCTGCTGGGGGTAGGCGAGGCCCTGCCTCCGCCGGAGCCCTGGGCTAAGCTGGGGGGCTCTTGGGTGGGTTGGGGTAAGACAGGGGTCCTGCTTGCCCCGCCCCTCTTGGGTGGGTGGCCTGAGGTCGTGAGTGCAGGGCCTGGGGAAGTGAGCAGGGCGCTGTTCCCAGGAGCCGGGTGAGTCTGGCTGTGAGCCAGCCAGGGCAGGGAAACCCTGACAAAGCCAGTGAACTGCCTTCCCATTGCCCGGCCCCAGCCCCAGCAGGAGTGGGTGGGCTGCTCTGTCCTGCAAGGCCACGCAGCCCAGCCACCAGCCCACTGCTCACTACAGAGCCAGCCAGAGGTGTAACATGACCGGCAGCACGGGCTCATGGCGCCGCCCTCGCCACTGAGGCTTCTCAGCTCCCACCAGCTGATCACCTCCCCCTGGGCCCTGGCACCCAGCCAAGGCGGGAGGTACAGGGACAGCAGGGCCGTCTGGCCAGGGCTGGGTAGGAGAGAGACCCCACAGGGTTGTAAGATCTTCGGGATGCAGGAAGCCTCTGAAAGCCTCCAGCCTCCTATGCTTTTCTAACAGATGAAACTGAGGCCAGAGAGAGGTTGGACTTGCCCAGGGTCTGCATGGTTTTAGTTGCTCCTGGAAAGAGGTTGCTCTGAGACATGGCAATGTGCAGAGGGTGGAGAGGAGGTCCGAGAGGCCTGTGTCCTCTTGCTGGTACACTTGACCCTAAGCACAGAGCCAGGAGATGACCCTTCCCCCATCTCTGCACCTTTCTATCCACAGCAATGGGCCTTGTCCACTGGAAACAGTTCTTCAGAGGTGGAAGGTAAGCCATCCAGGCTGGGGGCTACTCTCAGCCCCTCTCTTTCCTTTCAAGTCCCAGCAAGGACGGGAAGGGATGAATGTGCAGGGTGGGTACAGGTGAGAATTTAGGGAGAGTCTACATCCAGACATCCTGGCTGTGAAGTCGGCAGGGCCTGGGGTCCACCTGTTGTGGCCCTGCAACTAGAGAGGTACAATAATCCCAGGCCAGGGTTGCCCCACACAGGGAGTAGAGCAGTGTGGCCAGGGCCTGTCCATCTGGCTCAGAGCCCGCTCAGCATGCTGGGAGGGTGCAGATGGGGTCTTGGACAACAGGGTAGGCAGGGGTTGCTAGAGATGGGATCAAGGGTCTGGGCACTGGATGTGTTAGGCAAGCAGTCCAGAGAACCAGGCCGGCGAAGGCCTCCCCAGCAGCCCAGCCCTGGGGAGCTACAGGGATCTGACCAGGCCTCTCCATTGATTACAAACAGACAGAAAATGAGTCGCACCCTCCCTGGCCCCTCCACTCCCCGCCCTGGGTTGCATCAAGTGGGAATCTTCAAAGGGCAACCAGACGTTTGCCAAAGAGACAGACGTGCAGGAGGCAGGAGGCCCGTGCCAGCTCCCCGCCTGCTCCTCCCTCCCTGCCTCCCTGATACCTGCAGAGCAGCCAGACACTGCCACTAACTTCCCCTGTGCAGCAGGAGAGGGGCATGTGGGGACTGACTGTGGGCTTAGGGATGCCTCTGTGGGCCCGCCTGCCTGCCTGTCCCCTAGTGGTCAGCCTTTCCTGGCCTAGCCTGGAAGGACCCTGATGCTTAAGGCTCGGACCCCTTGGCCACTGGTGGGTGGCCAAGATGGGAAAGGTAGCTGGCTTCATTGGCTCCCAGCTTGTCCTCTGGACCTGGCTCAGTGTTATGCTGGGTGAGGACAGGGGAGCAACCCATCCTCCACCTCCACCTCAGGTCCACATCATGTTTTCAGCAGTTCATACAGCAGCCGAGCCTCAGTTTCTTCATCCTTGAAATGGGAGCATTAGACTACATTATACCAAAGGCTCTTCGTTTGCTATAATTACAGAATTATCTGGCTCTAGGAGACAGAGATGTGTCTGTGTCCCAGGATTTGGGATGAGGAGGCTTAGAAGTATAAATTCATTAGGTCAGCTCACCTGTCACCCTAATCGATGGGGGAGTGCCACACTCCAGGCAAGCACACTGAGCTTTCTTTGCATTCCAGTTTTTAAAATTTGAAAACGCAATCCCCTTTCTGCCAACACCGGAACAAGAGACAGCTTGCTGAGGCCCCAGGTAAAGCCCCGTTACTCTTCGTGGGTCATTTTTGGTCATTCCATCTGACCAAAAGGCTGTGAAGTCGGAAGGAATTTGCATTCCTCGCCTCTCACAGATGAGGACCTGGGTCACCTTGAGTCTCGGGCGCTCCACAGTGTATCTGGCCATGCTCCGCACCAGGCTCCCGACTTCTCAGAGGCCAAGCAGGGTGGCTGAGCAGGATGTCACTGTTTCGCTGGCCTGTCAGTGAGGAGGACACCTGTGGAGCCATCCTGGTGACCCTCCCAGCCTCGCCAGCTTCTCCAGCAACAGCCTTTCAGAGTTAACAGCTCTCTTCTTGGGTCTCCTGTGTTCTGGGTAGTAAGCCAGCTGGGGACAGATGGGGCTGAAAAGCGAGCCAACCATGGGCCCAGCAGTGGTCCCCAGGACACCCAACTGCAGCCTCAGCCTTGGGTTCCTCCCACCCTGCCCCACCCCGCCCTATCCTGCTCTGGCTGAGCCTGGCGGTAGGACCAGGAGCAGTGGGGCTGAGCTCTCTCCTGAGGGGCTCAGCTGCGATCCGGGCACAGTCACTGCCTGCCCTTGGCACAGCCCCTGAGAGGGACCTCCGGGAGAAAAGACCCTGGAAACTATTGGGGGCTGGTAAACCAGGCTCTGGTCCACCTCCTTCTGAGACTTCCCCAATAGCATGGCCACCCTGGCTGGAAAGTGGCTGATTTCAGGATCTGGGGGCTGTGGAGCTTGGGCCCTGCAGAGGCGGAGCTTAAGGGTACAGGGATGGTGAAGGAAGTCCTTCCTGTGGCCAAAGCCCAGCCGGTCCCACCCAGCCTGGCCATGGCCGTGGCACAGTGGGGTGGGAATGTGTGGGGTTTCGTGGGGCCTCGAGGGCCCCTTTCTCTGTCGTTCCCTCCCTGAAGCCTGGTCCTGTACAGGCGCTGAGCCTTCTGTGGTGCTTTGTCCACCAGCTATTTGCTGCCCTTATTTATGTATCCAGAGTGGTGTGGTGCTCGCAGAGGTTTTAGACTAAACACAGCTTGCAGAGCTGGAGATAGGAAGGTGCTCTGTGACCCCATGTCGCAAAGGCAGCCATCACCTGGGCTCCAGGGATCTCCCACTTGGAGCCAGGAGGACACAGTCAGTGGCCTGGAGAGGTGGGGTCGGGGCCTCTGGACCCCTTTCCAGCCCCCAGGCCTGCCAGGTCCCCACCAGTGGAGCAGCCAGAATGGTGCAAACAGCTACCCAGATACGCTCGGTTTATTGCCCGAGTGGCTGCCCTGCCAGCTCCACGTGGAGTGCCACCTCTTGGGTATTTTCCACCAGCTTGTAGCCTCTCCCCAGGGCCTCTGCTAGGATTGGAGTTTATTTTTCTGAGATTACCCTGAGACTCATGTTCTCATAGGCTCAGTAGAATGGACTTCGGCCCCATCTGCCTCTTAGGAAGGGTTATGCTGTACCAGGGCAGCTGGGTTCCCAGGTGACCCAGGCCCCTGTCCTCCCCCAGGAGCTGAGGGTGACCATCAGATACGGAGCAAGATGACCTGGGCCTGGGGGTGTTTCTCTGCCCAAAGACTCAAGGCTGGCCCAGGCTGAGTTTCATGCCCTGAACCCGACAGTGTCGGAGCAAAAGAGGCCTTAGCAACATCTAGTCCCAGCCTTCGTTTCCCCAGCTCAGGAAACTGATATACCCAGAAAGGTTAAGTGACCTTGCCAAGGTCACACAGCAGGATGGGGCCAGGACAAGAAGAAGCAGATGTCCTGGCTTGGGCCGCTGCCTGAGAACCTCTCCATGGGCCCCGCTCCCGGACTCTCTCCCTGCAACAGCAGCGGCAGCTTGTGAGGGATTCCAGATCAGCCCCCTAAGATCCTGCCATTACAAGGCTGTCCCTGATAACCCTTGGTGAAGCGTCCTCTAATCAGACAGGCGTCACTTAGCCTGTCTACTGGGGTCTTGTTCCTGTCTTGCCAGAGCCTGGCTGCAGAGGAGATAAGAGCCCTCAGGGGTCCTGGGGAGGAGGTGGACTCGGGGCCAGGCAGGACTCCAGTGGGTGGTACCTGCTTGGGGAACTGTGGAGAAGGGTGTAGGGAGGAGGAGGGAGGCACCACAGGAGGAGAGCTGGGCTTCACTTGGGTACAAGTGGAAGCATGGAAGGCTGCTGCCTAGGGGTGAGCGAGTGAGCCCTGCAGGGTGGGGGCTCTAGAAAGGAGGGCTGGGCCTTCTCGCTGGCTGCCCCGTAGGTTTGGGGCAGAAAACAAAGGGGACGGCCACGCCTCCCTGTGGGACTCAATGCTTTTCAGCAAGTTTTCCAAGGCCTGAGGAGGGCCAAGGACCTGGAGACCGGCCAGGGCACAGTCCTTGATGCTTCAAGGGGCCAAGGCAGACGCAGGCACCTGAGTAGAGAGCAGGGCCGCCCACTCCAGATCTGGAGACTTACACCAGGTTGGAAGAGCTAAGGGTCCTGTGGGTGTCCCGAGGGATCCTGGAAGAGAGGCGCACACAAGCAGGGATGGTGCAGCTGCACACCATCTCTGAGGTCTTGCCTCCCTGTAGTGATGCCCTTCCAGGAGGTGTGGGGCCGCAGCTACTGCAGAGCACGGGAGAAGCTGGTGGACATCGTGGCCGAGTACCCTGGCGAGGTGCAGGACTTGTTCAGCCCGTCCTGTGTCTCTCTGAAGCGCTGCACTGGCTGCTGTGGTGATGAGCGCCTGCAGTGTATGCCGGTGGAGACCTCCAACGTCACCCTGCAGGTAGGGCCCCACCCCACGCTGCAGGCTGCTCTGCCTCGTGCCCTGTGGGCTCCCACTAGAAAGGACTCGGAGGGCCCCCGTGATCACCCCAGCCTTGGGCCTTCCTTCCGGAGCCCACAGAACTAGGGACTGAACTCAGGCTCTTATGCTTGGTGGGCAAGCACTTATTGTAGGGAGCCGTCTCCCCGGCCCATCGCCCGAGTCCTCACCAGGGCTCCCCTTTCTCTTCCATGCAGGTCCTGAAGATCACTCCGGGGCCCCGGCCCTTCCTGGTGCACATGACTTTCTCACAGCACAACCTCTGCGAGTGCAGGTAGGTCCTGGACAGGCATGGGGACAGGCCCTGGACACTTTGGAGCCTTGGCAAAGCTGGGCCTTGGTGTGGACTGGCGGCTGCCCACTGCTGCCCTGGCTGCATTTTGCTCGGCTCAGGGAGCTGGTCCCCTACAGCTACCAAGATGCCCAAAGGGCAAGGGAGCCTGGGCCCTGCCAAGCCTGAGGAGACCAGCGCGGGCTGTATTGCTGTCCTGGGATGGAAGGCAGCCAGCCGCACAGGCGCAGAAGAGGCCCTTGAGGCAAAGACAGCGAGCCTGAGCTTGGCTGCAGGCTAGGCTGCAGGCCCACTGGAAGGGCTGAGAAGCAGAAGGAAGGGCAGGCTCTGGTGGGAAGGAAGACGCAGGAGAAGGAGGCAGGTGCTGAGGATTCTCCAAAGCCACAGCCCTGCTGTCCTGCCCTCCCTGGACCCAGCCGCTCTGGCACAGGCCTGGCTCTGCTATTCAGATTCAAGGAGAGGAGAGGCACTGAGGTGCTCTCTTGGTACCATGGGACATGGACAACAGTACCAGACACGCAGTCTGGAGGCCTGTGCCCAGCTCTGAGCCCTTACAGCGTTTCCTCATTTATAGTTTTTTTAGTAGCCACCTGCTGTAGGCTGGGTGCTGAGCAAGCCCGTCAGGGTTCCTGTCCCAGCGCCCCATCCTGTGGTCCAGATGGGGACACCAGGCCAATGATCTGCCCAGCCAGTGAGTGGGAAGGAGGGCTTGGATCTGGGCTCCGGCCTGGCTCGAGTCTGCCCTGGCAGTGCCACCTCTCTTGGCCATCACCACACACTCGCATGGCCCCAGGGCCCCCAAGGCTTGGCACTGCCTGCTGTCCCCTCTGAACCAGAGCCTAGCAATGAGGGCTCTGCCTTGACCAGTTATCCCAGCCAGCATGACGACCCCTCCTGGGCCCAGGGCCAGATGGTGACCTTCATCTCTCCCATCACCCAGCCCTCACAGCCACTTTGGGGGTGAAGGAGAAGGGGAGAGAGGTTGTTCTGAGAGTCTCGGACTTGTCCCGTAGGGAGGCATGTGACCACTCGGGCATTCTGAGGAAGGAGCCAGCCCAGGGTCCACAGCTGCCTATCACCACCCACTCTGCCTGGGGAGACCAAGGCTCTGTCCCCATCCAGCGTGCCAGGCAACAGGGACATTTTTCTTTTCACTTCTGGGCCAACAGCCACAGCCCCAGGGGACAGAACTGGGACATGCCTGGTGACCGTGTGACTTGTACTCACCTCCCTTTGTTGCCCCCACCCATCTTGTGGCTTGCCAGGGAGGGCGGGGGGGGGGGGTTGTACCCTGGCCGGCAGCCTTAGCTAGCATCAGCTATCACCCCATCCGTGGCATTGCCCGTCATTTACTGTCCTGGAGGAAACTCCCACAATGCACCCTGCCTGGAAGGGTGAGAAGTGAACCAACAGAGAACACTCAGAAGGCCCCAGATTTAATGCCAAAGAGCAATGATTCAGAGGCCTGTGAGGAGGAGCTCCAGGCCTAGGGTGGCCCCTGGAGCCCAGAGGCCCAGGCTTGCTCTCCCTTGCCAGCTCCATGCTGCCCCCCTGTGGCCAAAGCGCCAACCATGGGGTCCAGCTTGGGAAGTCTGAGGGTGGCAGCACGCCCCCGACAGAGTGACCACTCTCCTGATTTCCTCTGCCCCTTTCTGTTTCCCTAGACCCCTGCAGAAGAAGACAAAGGCAGAAAGGTAAGTGGCCTGTCAGGGCTCAGGGCTGTTCTCAGGCCTGCCAGCCCTGTCCTAGCTTGGGGGCTCGGCCACCGTGTCCTGACGCTTTGGCTTATTGCAGGAGGAGACTCAAGGTCAGGGGGAAGAGGAAGCGAGAGAACCAGAAACCCACAGTCTGCCACCAGTGAGTGCGCGGGGAGCCCAGGGCTGCAAGGCGGCTGGGCCCAAGGGGGGCCCTGCCAGGGGTCAGCGGTGGGGATGGGGCGAGGCAAGGTTTAGGGAGTCTTGGGGCCAGCATAGGGGCTGCACCTCTTCAGGGGCCCAGGAAGCGTCAGGGCTCCTTGGTCCTCATCTTTGTGAGTCTCAAATCTCTGCGTGGCATTGAACACCTCATTTTACCTTTCTGAGCTGAGGTTTCCTGTGCTGAGGACAGGCACGGGCTGGCCCCAGGGCTCAGGGTCACTCTGCCATGCTGATCTGGCGCTTCCTGGTCTAATGACCAGGAGCCATCCAGGGCTGCGTCCTGGCAGCCTGGGAAGGTGCAGCCCCCTGTGGCTCCCAGGCCAGTGCTTCCTCTTCCCCCTCCGCATTTCTGGCCTTCCTGACCTCACACCCAGGGACAGCAGGCTGAAGTCCAGGCTTGGGTGTGGTTGGGAGGGGAGATTTAGGGAAGGGAGCACCCACCCCAAGAGTCAGAAGTGAAAATAAACTGTTCTGCATGCATGGCCAACCCAGGCACTGTAGGCTTTCCTTCCGGGCCTCGGTCTTCTCGCTCCAAGGTAGGAAAGCATTTCATGCTACAGGAAGGGGGTGGCTCAAGCCCTGGCCCCACACACTAGCTCCTCTGCAGGCTGAGATGTCCCTCAACTCCATGAAGACAGGGATGCAGCCACGTCTGCCCCCCGAAGGTTTATGGCCCTCATTTCTGCCCTGGGTCCATGCAATAATTTGGGGCAAGAACTGGCGGTGAAAGCAATTGAGGGCCGCAACGCCAGCCAAGTGGCCTCAGTCAGTGTCTCATCGCCCCATTTCTGGCATTGGTCTTCAAATGTTACTTTGGGGAATTCTTTTAAAAGAATTTCAAAACCCTATGTCCTCCCTTGCTCATTTCTAGGTTGATATTGAACTTTTTCATCATAATTATAAATGACTATAAAGGATATAATTTCTGGCATATCATAAATACTAATATTTATTATAAAGCTATAATTCATTCTTCAGATACAGCCTATGGACTATGCCATCCTAATTTAATAGATACTACATCCAGCTTTTTAAAAATGAACAGTGAAAAAATATTTATGTCTCTCTTAGTGTACATATATTTACTTTACTTACATTTCCCTGGGACTATACAATTCCATTTCTTTGCTCCACAGAACTTCAGCCTAATATAATTTTATTTTAATGCTCAAAACTCTTGTATTTATCATCTTACTATTTATCTGGCAGAAAGATGATTTTGAGTTTGAGTTCTTTTAAATTTCCTGTGAGCATAAAACCAAATTAAATTTTCTCTTGGAACAAAGTATCAAAAATAGTTATTAGCAGTACCGCTTCATCAAAACAGCACAAATGCATCCTGTTTTAATAAGCATCACATGTAAAAGGGCAGTCAGTCTCACAGGAGCGCTTGTCACTGAGAGGGGCGTGGCAACCCTTTTCAATCAGTTATTGACTTTGTTAATGAACCTGACCTCTTGCCAGACTGAGACAGGATTTGGCATAAATTCTACTCCTGTTTATCATTTTCATAGAGGAAAAGCTTGAGAAATCATGCTCACATGCACCAATTAATGAAACCGGAGGCCATGGAGTCATTTGAACGACATCCGATTTATTTGCTGTAAACTTCTAGGTGGTCTGCTGCTAGCAGTGACCGCTAAGCCTGGGCTTGTAGTGCACTGCGTGCCGGCCACACCCAAAGCCCTGGGTTGGTGTCTCAGCACTGGCACACGCGTGTGTACACGATGTGTGTGTGTATGTGTGCATGCGCGCACATGCGCGTGGCTGGTGACTCAGCTGGGTCGTGCTTCAGTCTTGTGGAAAGGCTCGGCAACTGCTGCCTCGCAGATGGCGTGATCTCCCACCATCTCCCACCCTCCACTGCATTTGCTTCCTCCCACCTCCGGCGGGTCCCAAATCGCCCGGTGTCGTGCCCTTAGGACACTCTGACCTTGCAGCAAAACACCTTCACAGGACTTGGACCAGCCAGGGGCCTCCTTTCTCCTGAAGGGGCAGTTGTGACAGCCGAGCAGACCTCAGACACTCTCTCGTGTAAATAATTTCGAGGCTGAATACACATGAAGGCTGAAAAATGGTTTCTTTCAACCCGTTAATTCAGCCTTTGTGGCTCTGTTTGAAGCCTGCTGTTGACAGTAACCGGAGGCCATGCCTCGGAAAGCCGGGCTGAGGTCCGGGGTGGCTGTCTGACCTGTGTGTCGCGGACTGCTGTGTGGTGCTGGTCCCGTGTCTAAGCCTCTTTGGGCCTGGTCTCTTGTCTCGGGCAGGGTGACACTCAGTACCTTGCTCACAAGCGGTGACAGACAGCGCCCAAGCGCAGCCTGCTGCCCTAGGCCCGCTGCACGCAGGCGTCCGGAGGCGCTGTGTCCTTGCTGTGCTCCCCACCCAAGCTTTCCCTCTGACCCCACCCCGGGAGGGGACCCCTGCTGCACCATGCACTGATAGCCTGCTTTGTCTGTGTGTTCTCCCGCAGGTGCGGTGACAGTGTTCCCTAAGGGGAACGGCCCTTCAGAGGAGAGAGACCCCCACACGCAGCTCGTGTATTTATTATTGTCCACTCTCGGTGACCTCCCTGCTGGTACCTTCCCTCTATTTATTAGCCAGCTGCATCCCTGCTGAATGACTTGCTGCCTCCGAGATGAGGAGCAAGGAGGGACAGGACCCTCAGGAATTCAGTGCCTTAAGCAGAACGTGAGAGAAGGAAGAAGCCATCCACAGACCCGTGGGAGCTTCGGCTTGGAAAGAAACAAGACGTGACCTTGTGAGGGGCAAGCCAGGCCCCAGAAGTCCCAGGTCCCCAGGGAAAGAAGAAAAGGGGCCCCACTGGGCTCCAGGCTTGTGGGCTCTGTGCTGCCGGCAGCCTTTGCCCTGGTTGCCCTGGGCCCAGGTGGGCCCAGACACGTGCTCTGGCCACCACGTCCCTGGCTGGTGGGCAGGTGGGCAGCCTGTGGAGGGGATCCAGCCTTGCCCTCCTTTCCCTGGCAGTGCTGCTTGCCCTGGAGACTGGGGCTTTCAGCCAAGAACAGCTCTTGCCTGGAGCCTTCGCCACCCGTCCCCCAGGTCACTCCTCATGGCTGCCTCTGGCTTGTTCTAGAACATTGTTTTTTTCCAGCCAAGGTACCATGACCCTGCCGCCTCTCAGGGGGCAGAGTGGGCCCCAAAAGACAGAGAAGGAGGAGCCCTGCCATGGGGATGAGGTCACTGGGACAGAGACCTGTGCGCCTTAGGCCAGCAGCTGTGGAAAGTGGAGCAGACCCTGAGGGCCTGTGTCCCACAGGCTGCCCCTGAAGAGCTGACTGACCACCAAGCCAGATTCTCTTGAATAAAGCTTTCTAGTCTGGAAATAGCTTGTCCAGGGAGTGTGCGTGCCTGAGGTGTGGGCGAAATAGCTTGTCCAGGGAGTGTGCGTGCCTGAGGTGTGGGCGAACGGGGTCGGGGCGCCAGGAGCGCAGTGCTGCTACGCACCTATTTACTCATCTTAAAAATCCTGTCAGGTTTGAGAAAGCACACCCCAGTCCCTGGCAGCACCTCAGCCATCTCCTCCCATCCTCTCATGAGAGCTGTCCTCGGCATCTCTCGGCTGCTAAGGCCCCGTACCCGACATCACCGCTTACAGGAGGAGGGGCTTACCTGCCTCACGGTTTCAGAGTGCAGGCCCTATCTCCTGCCGCACACTCAACCAGTGAACTGAGCACAGCACTGCTGTCCCGAAGCACCATCCATGAGTCATGAGAGTTTGGGGGTACAGTCTAGATGCAACTGTACACCACCCGTGGCCCCCATAAAGTTGCTCTCTGCAAAATGTATGTAATCCACTTTTAAGACTCACCAAAAGACTGGGGAGAGAGCTCAGTAGAATAAGCGCTTGCCTGCCAAGCGCAAGGGCCTGAGTTCAATCCCCGGTTGCACCAAAAAAAAAAAAAAAAGTCACCAAAGTTTTAGCAGTTTCAGCATTGGAGCTGGGGAGATGCTCAGTGGCGTGAGCACCTGCCTGGCAAATGCAACGTCCCGGGTCAGCCTGTATCACACAGGCGGAGGATGAATAGTACCAGCATGGCTGGAAAGTCAAGGCCCCAAACCTCTGAAATTCAGAGTAGACTCTCAGCTGTGAGACCCTGAAGAATGAAAAAGAAAAGCCAGCCAGATAGCTCAGCGGATGAAAGCACCTGCTCAGGCAGGTTCAGGCACTGGGGTTCGATCCCCTGAATGCTGTGCTGGCCCCAACCCAGGGTGCACTGAGACAGCGACTGCGACTGGGCACGGAGGCCTACGCCTGTGATCCCAGCGCTTGGGAGGCTGAGAACTGCAGGATCACTATGAGTCTGATCTGTGTAGTGAGACCCTGTAGACCTTGTACTAAATACATATATTTTTTAAAAATCAAAAATTAAGCATTGCCAACATGCGCTGGCATAAGATAAATATTCGCCATAGGGCGACTCAAAGGACTGGGACCGAAGGAAGACCAGAGGCTGCCGTAAAGCTTCCTCTGCTGATGAGTGAGTTAGTCTGCTGCCCTAATCTGCTCTCACAGTTTCAGGGTGGGGGTAAAATAAGTTTTTGCAAAGATGTAGCACACCTGGTCTCAAGTCCAGCTGCCAAAGAAGCACTTGCTCCCAACTGAAACCTGAGCCTCCCTTTACTCTGCACTTGGATCAGGATTCTGGTCTTCTGAACTCTGACAAGAACTCCTGGCTCAGGATCTTCTCTGGCTGCATTTCTGAACCTTTCCAAACTTCTCCCTTGAGCCAGTCATACAGGCATCTAACCGCGGGGTTAGTCACAGCAGCCAGCCCACTCCTGGTACCAAAGTCGGACCCGGCCACTTTCTGTCACTGAGACGCAACACATGAGACTCTCAGCTTAAAGGAAGAACAGATTCTGGCTCACAGTTCAGCAGCTCCTGGTATTGGAAAGGGCTGTTGTAGAGAAAATCATGGCGACCAGGAGGTGCATGGACACAGGAGGAGCTGGAGACAGGAATATACCCTTGTGGCTCTGGTCCAAGTCCCACCTCCCAACAGCACACTCAGCCACTGGGGAGTACAGCCCTCTGTTGGCCCAAACACCCTCCAAATTCCCCACTGTGGACGGTGAGAGTTCTGTGGGATATTTGAGGCCCGAGCCAGAAGCCCGCCTGAAGGAACCGAGGCCCAAGCAGGTGGAATGACTGATGGAACATCTAAAGAGCCCTGAGCCAGGAGCCAGGAGTCAGGAGCCAGGGTGAGTCTCTAACTCACCAAGTGAGCCTGGGCTCTCCTCTGCCTTCCTTTTGCTATCTTTAACCTGAGGTGGTGTCTCTGGCTTTGACACGTTGGAACAGGGCTTCAGGTTCCAGATTTTGTGGCCCTCAGGGTCACCAAGGTTGTTTCCATACAACTATGCCAGGGCTGCCCTGGGGTTCACTAAGTCCTGCTTCTGCCACAGCCTGGGCCCCACCTCAAAGGAGTCCTCACCGGCACTGAGGGGCCAGTGTGGAATGCATCTCCCAGCTGTAGTCTAACTTATCCAGCCATCTAGGACACCATCAAATTCAGGAGCACACCTACAGCCCAGAGGCCCCTGAGGGAAGAGGGCCCCCAGACTCCTCATGTCCTCCAGGGAACCGTGTCTCCCCCTGCTTGGATCTGCATCTGGTTTCTTCCTTTTGACTCTAACTTCCTCCTGAATGTCTTAGTATGAAGAAAAGGAAAAAAGATTATTTTTTCTTGTCCAAACCACTTACCATCAGGCCCCATCAAAATATGTGCATCCTTTTATGTTGTGTGAGGGGGCAGAAGGGGCCTCCACATCCTCATTTGAGGCTGAAACCCCTGGGAGCTGGTCAGGGTGGACCTCAGGCTTCGGAGCAAGGCGGCAGAGGGGCCAGTAGGACGGGAGGCTCTGCTCAGGCAGCGCCCTTGGCACTACAGCCAGGGCCCCTGGGGCCCCCAGGTCAGAATGTGCTCCTGGCTGCTGGTCACAGCGAGGGTGTGGGTCCACCCAGGGGATGCGCCCAGCAAGGGAAATGCGCTTTCCAGCTTCCCTCTGGCTGCAGCTGTCCTGAGCAACAGTCCTTTGCCGATCCAGAGGAGAGCAGCACTCCCTGTGGCGGGGCCTCTGGCTCAGCCCCTAGGGCCCCAGCCCGACCCCTGTAGCATCTGCAAGGCTTTCAGCTCCTGAGCTCACCCACTGGGAGCACACTGAGGCCACACACATCCCCAGGCCAGTGACCCCTGAAAGGTCCTAGGCAGAAACCAGGTCCAGAGGTCAGAAGCGAAAGTCCACACCCTCAACCAGGGGCCCTGCATAGGACAGGTGGGACAGGACCTGGTGGCTCCACTCAGTCACATCAGGGGGTCCTTTTGGCTCATTTGGGTCCTAAACAGTCCCATTTTCAATGACCTGCCACCTGTTTAGGGAGTGGCATCTGGGTAGCTGTGCAGACTCAAGCGTCTCTACCTGTGGCTCCCAGGCCATTGTGTGTGAGAGCGTATGGGCTGGTCCTTTCTGCTGCTTGAATGTGTGACCAGACACAGGCTGGGGGAGGGGGTTTACCCCACGCAAGGAAACAATTTGGATTGGACATCGGGATTTGGTAAGAGATGGCTGAAGTGATTCTGTTGTACTTCAGCACCCTTAAGCACTCCTTAGAGGTAGAAGGACAGAGAGGCAGGGTCCCTGGAGTCCTGGGGTGCTGACCCCTTTTCCCTGCTTTCCCTGAACCTGGAGCTGCTCATGTGCAGTCAGAACCAGGAATGGGGAAGGATGGAGGGACAGAGCGAAGAACCTTTGGGTCAAGTGGATGCAGTAGAAAGCCATTGTCTGGCCGCTGCCTGCCTGGGAAGGAGGCCTGCTGGGAAGGAGGCCCAAGGCCCTCGGCTGTGTGTAGGTTATGATGCAGCTGAGTAGGATGCCAGATACTGAACTAAAATCATGTCCACACCAAAGCACACCTGCTTGGGGCAGCCCAGCAGTGAGACCCGCAGAGAGCTAGCCTCCTTACCATGCCGGCTCATCCATAGTGGGAAAGGGATGTGCTCCCATCTCTGTTTCCCCATCTGTGTAAAAGAAGAGAGGAAAAGGGGTGCAAGGGCCAGGCATCCCCCTCGATGCTCTCTGGGGCAAATCCAGGCCCTGCGGGGGTGAGGGTGGGGGTGAGGGTAGGGGTGGTGTCTTTTTTTCTTTTCTTTTTGAGACAGGGTCTCACTATGCAGTTCGGGCTGGCCTTGAGCTCACTTGTAGCCTAGGCTGGTCTCAAACTCGTGGCAATCCTCCCATCTCAGCTTCCTGAGTGCTGGGATCACAGACATGCGCCACCATGCCCAGTGTGGGGAAGGGTTAGTCTTACCCAGGCTGGAAGCCCCTGAGGAGCTGGGTCTCTCATGAGTTACAGTGACAGGAGCAGCAGATCTGCCAAAATGCTGTCAAGGGCCAAGAGAGGAGAGCCACTGCAGCCCAAGCAGAAGCAACGGTCAGAGGAAACAAAAATGGCTGTGTGCCCTAATGTGTGCTCAACGAGCAGCTTACCCATAGAACGCCGGGGAGGCAATGTCCTGTTGCCAAAGTGCAGTTGTGGCATGGAGAGGCGGTCTTGACGCTTTTCTGCTGAAGACATGCCCTCTCCACTCCCTCCGCTTGGATCTGGGCGGTGGAGACCGTGTTTCAGTAGAGCACTGCCGGAGGAGCCCTCCCGTGGTCCTGAGCCCACGTGGCACTGGTGCTTGAGCCTGCGTCTTGGAGCTGCTGTGTGAGCGTCAGCTATCCTGACAGCGCCGTGTGTGCCAGGAGGAAGCCCAGGCTGGCTTATGAAGAGGAAGGGTGGGGGAGACTCAGCCAACTCCACGTCTCCCAGCTTTCAGCATCGCAGCCATCCTGGCTGAAGTCAGGACTTACGGAGCGAAGGCAAGCCCTTCCCAGCGCGCCCTGTTTGATCTCCTAACCCACAGAATCTTGAGCTGTCATAATAACACATTGTTTTGAGCTGGTTTTGCTTTATGGTAATAGGTAGCTAGAAGGGGAAAGAGGAAAAGGTGAAGAGATAGGGCTCAGGAAGGCACTCTAGAGTGCTGCCTCTCTAGAGGGGACGTGGAGGGCAGATGGCATCGGGTGAAGGTAGGGAGCTAGCACTCTGGACAGGCCATGGCCAGGGCGAAGGGCCAGGAGGGACCGCAGTGGCAGGGGCACACTGGACAGGGAGGAGGGCGGCCAGAAGTGACGTCACAGAGGGTGGGAGGTGGCCCTGAGGGGCTTTGCAGGCCAGGTAAGGAGTTTGTTTCTGCTACAAGGGGGAGGGAAGCCACTGAACCATTTCAGGTGAGAGTAAAGCGATGGTAGGTACAT